ACCTCCCTGTTTACTTTCTCGTAGTCTAAATAACTAAATAGGGGCTTCTGGATAATAACGCAGACCTATTTGTAACTCGAATTAGTAGTAGAACTAAACACAGTTCTTGGAAGATAAAGTAGAGCGTTGATGTATGTGAGAGAAATATTAAACATGAGGGGTTCATATAGAGAGTTCAAAGTCGTTCAATCTGGGATAAACATTTTTTTTTCAGGTGTACATTTCTTGATCTAATCTTATAATGATAATGTTTTTGAATGTATGATAAATTGATATTCATCATACAGGACGTGGAAAGAAATTCTGAATTGAGGATACCTAATCACGAACCCCTTAAGTGGGTGACAGTATAAAAATGGAATATATTGATATAATTATAAACATCAAAAAATTAATATATATACAGTGTGTGCGATTTTAACCCGCAACACCCTCCTAATTCGGAACCCGTCGATCGATTTTCAGAAAAAAAAATTCCATAATATGCTACTCAACGAGCTCTATTCGAAAATAATGTGGACAAATTTAAAATATTCAGATTTTCAAGGAGTACTTCTGTTTGTTGGAGGGGTTAAAATTTCAAAAACGACTATAAGGCAATTTTTGTTCGAAACAGTGACTACCGTATTCGATTCAAGCATAGCTGAAATACCTCCATACGAAATTTGAAGGCAAAATCTCATATAGGGTGTTAGTTATTCAATGGCAAATTTTGTTATTTTTGATTTTTCGATTCACCCTGTATCAAAATCTTATTAGTTGATATAACCAGTGAAGTAGTTATTCAATAGAGGAACACATCGAATACATATCCCTAACAACACGAGTACATCCTAGGGACTTCCCAGGGACGCCCCTAATTTCAAATAAGGACATCCCAGGGATATCTTTTCTGGGACAAAGTACATACTAGGGACGTCCCAGGGACATCCGCTTTCAGACAAAAAGGACATCCAAGGGATGTCCCTCCTGGTACGTCCCTGGGATGTACCGAGTACAAAGAAGGGATATACCTAGGACGTCCCAAGGATATCCCAGGGACATCCCTTCGACAAAAGAAAAAAAAATGTAGGTCTAGTTGGGATTGAACCCGGGACCTTCAACTTATCAGGCACGCACCTTACTCCATTGGCCAATATGCCTTCTGAAGATTCATGTATTGAACAGATTTATAAACAGGACAACTACAGAAACCTGGATAAATAAAACTGTTAGGATTCGGGTATAATTATTATCATTCTTGGGTGTTTGAAAATGAGGGGCATTATGCATTTACGATCTCTGTTTGCAAAAAATGGTCATTTCTTGAGAAGTTTTGAGACTATATTCTTTATTTTCATCACAATTATTTTCCGAAAGAAATACATTTTCGAAAAAATTCGACTCAATATTTTGATGATATTGAATGACTCTCTGATGTGAAGAATGGATATCAGATATTCCAGGGACACGAATGGGATAACCTAGGGATGTACCGGTTGGGATGTCCACTGGACAACTACTGGCGGGACATCCCCTGGATGTCCCAATCATTTCCTTCTACCGCGGGACATAAAAGGGACGCACCTAGGACATCCCTGTGTTGTTAGGGTAGGTACAAAGTTCCATCGCTGTAACTTCTACAGGAAGATCTCTCTAGATCAACCGAAAATCAATAAAACTAAAGTTGAGATCCACCATTCTGAAAACTCAAGTGAACCGTATCTCACACATTACACCACACAGACACTTGGAAAATCGAATATAACACAAATAGAATGACGGACAAATACTCTCTGAAGACTTCTGATTTTGGCGAAATGGAATGAAAATTTGAGATGACAATGAAAATATTTTTTTCTCCGATTGGCAGCAAATATTAATTTTGCTGACACATATATCAATCAGCAAAGTATTACTTTTCCTGCCTAGGCAGCAAAGTGGTTACTTTGCTGATTGATATGTATCAGCAAAATTAATAATCCATAAATCGTTTATAATTTCCTTCATATTTCATCCGAGACTTCTCTGGCAACAAATTCAACTCTATATTTTTTTCCACCTCCCTTATTTCTGAAGGTTCAAGTACTTCCAGGTCGCTATCACTGTCCATTATATGATAATTTGAATATACCGATATTTTTTGGCACAACTGTCAGAAATTTCATGAATTGTCAAACTATAATTATTATGGACATTTCCATAGCAACCAACTATTCCAACAACTGCGATATCTATCAAATTTTATTTTAATTGAACACTACAGGAAAAATTAAGAGATATATATCATTATGAACAATCGGAGAAAAAATTATATGTTCAACTCGACAGCAAAATAGATTGACTGCCTTAGCTGGATTCCTAGCCTCGCTAGGCTCGGATATGAATTCAGCCTCGGCAGTCAATCTACTACTTTGCTGCCTAGTTAAACAAATAACTAATGTATACAGATTAGTCACTGGATTAGTCACCATTATCTACCTATATTTCCTAGAAAAAAGTTATGGACCATGATAGAAAAAATTTCGATTTCAATTTCGTTAATTATTGGTTGACCAAGAGAGATCTTCCTGTAGGAGTTACAGCGATGAAACTTCGTACCTATGAATTCGATGTGTTCCTGTATCAAATAACTACTTGACTGATTATATCAACTGCTGAGATTTTGATACAGGGTGAATCGAAAAATCAAAAATATCAGAAGTCGCCATTGAATAACTAACACCCTGTATGAGATTTCGTATAGGGGTCTTTTAGCTATGCCTGAATCGAATAGGCTAGTCACTATTTCGAAAAGAAATTGCCTAATAGTCGTTTTTGAAATTTTGACCCTTTCAACAAACAAAAGTAGGACTTGAAAATCTGAATATTTCAAATATGTCCAAATTTTCGAATAGAGCTCGTTGAGTGCTATATTATGGAATTTTTGTTATCGAAAATCGTTCGACATGTTCCAAATTAGGATGGTGTTGCGGGTTGAAATCGCACACACTGTATATATATGAAGAAATACATTGAGAATTCGAATTCTCTATGTGATGAAAATATCAATTCCTTCCCGGTTTATTCAACAGAAAACAGCTTCTTTCCTGGCTATATGACACGACGAACAGTGAATTATATATCTATTGAACACACGATGAGAATTTGAAAACAAAATCCTCTGAAGTAGAGAATTTGCATTCTCCTTCATATAAATATATGTATATGCACATAATATCATTCTGAATATTCGACAGAAAACAACTACTTTCCTGGCTATTTGCCACATCGAACATTGAATTATATCTGTTGAACATTCAAAAAGGGAGCATGAAAAATGAAAATCCTCTTGAATTGAGAATAACCTAACATTATCTCTCAAACCTGATAAAATTATATGAAGTAATATGATATATATATACTTACCAACATGATCAGTATTGAAATGAAAATTGAAATGAATAGAAGTATACTTGTATAAACTCTGATCTTGATGAGCTTGGAACTTCCAAAAAAGATCATTCGTATCAGTGATATGGGAATTATATCTCTCACAAACAGGTTATATATGACTTCACTCGAATCAACTCATTTCGGATATCGAATCCTCATCAGTAACCTAAAGTTCAGTAATTCTTTCAGTCATTCTTCATGATATACAGGGTGTTTCAAAAAAACCTGACCCCCTCACTTGGGTAGATAGAACACTGCAAAATAAGTTGGATTCACTCAGTAAAAAAATTTCGTGACGGCATCCGTTATCAAGATGAAAGGTGTTGAAAAAATTATTTTTTTACACATTTTTTAAGATTATGTCGAAACTACTGGCAACATTGTGATGAAATTTTGTATGGATGTTTTTTGAAATCTGACACATCGCATGCATTTGTTTTTATATCTGACCCTCATAGAGGGCGCTAGTTACACGGTTCGTACCGAGTAGTTTTGAAAATAACTTTTTAGAGGTTAGATTTCTCAATCCAAATTTGATGTGAACTTGAACATCATGCAATTCCACACCAAAAAGGGACTCGTGGTAGAACTCGATACTGTGTTCCGTTTTCGGAATATTTCGATTTGAAAATGATGAAGTGATAACTGTTGCTGGTATGAAGCTATGTATTGGAGCGAGTGTTACGAAAAATTATCACCTATTTATTGAAAACCGAAAACAACAATACAATTCTGATGCTAAACTTATCTATTGAACGATGAATCACAAGAATAACATCGAAAAAGATTTGACTAAGAACATGGATTACACAGTTTTGTTGTATCTTGAGCTGAAAGTCTAAGCTACATAGGTAAATTCACGTCAAGAGTTGTAATACATAATTGAACATCACTTAAATGACCTAACAGCTGATCCTCAACTGTTTAGAAAACTTATACATGACTTATGATTCTTTGTTCCATCAATAACTTCGGCACAACAATAATTTTATTGTTTTTGAATCTGAATAAATAGGTACTTGAACTCAATAAAATTAATTTTATACCAGCATCATTACTACTCCATTATTTTCAAATCGAAATATTCCTAAAACGGAACATAGTATCGAGTTTCACCAAGAGTTCCTTCTTGGTGTGAAATTGAATGAGGTTCAAGTCCAGATCATATCTGGATTGAAAAATCCAACCTCAAAAAAGTTATGTTGTAAACTACTCGGTACGAACCCTGGAACTAGCGCCCTCTATGAGAGTCAGATATAAAAACAAATTCATGCGATGTGTCAGATGTCAAGAAACATCCGTACAAAATTTCGTCACAATGTTGCCAGTAGTTTCGACATAATCGTGAAAATTGTGTAAAACATAATTTTTTCAACACCTTGTATCATGAAAACGGATGCCGTTACGACATTTTTTCACTGAGCAAACCCAACTTATTTTGCAGTGTTCTACCTACCCTAGCAAGGGGGTCAGGTTTTTTTGAAACACCCTGTATACAATTTTCATCTCCCTATAATTCATTATACTTATCCGAGAATATTCCTTTTTAACACTTATAATGACAACTTTTTCTGTTTATTTTTCAGTGAATTGGGGTTACCATAGGCAGGGGTCGTGCCAGGCTGGCTTCAGTGCGGCAATAAACAGGGTGAGAATTTTCATTTATTTTCGTGTCATTTCGTCAATCCTTTCTGGAACTATCATTGAACAAATCACAGATCAGTTCTGCGATCTGATACGGTCAGTTAATTTTTCCGGTCATCGAAAGTCACGTGAGAATGAATAGTAGTTTAAAAAAACCCTAAATGGATATAAGCACATCCGTAGTCAGTATAATAATATGTTGTGTATTTATCAGCACACTTTTATCATTTTCTTTTCTACTTTTTCAGTTTGGCTATAGCTATAAAACGGGTTTCTTTAGTTTTTATAAACTACTTATTATTTTTTATTTTTCAGTTCGGCTCTACGAAAGCGTGTTTTTAGTAATATCAAATTTTTCGTGAGTACCCAATGTTGACGAAGGAATCATAATCTCCGACCCTGAAAACCTCCAGATACGAATTTTTAATTGAATTGGATTATGATCACAAAACCCGTTCGCCATATTGTATTTTTCAATTTTGACAAAAGCATCATAATCTCCGACCCCGAGAATCCCCAAATACCAATTTTGAATTAAAAAAAAAAACTACCAGATATCAATTTTGAATAGAATCGGATCATAATTTACAAAACTCGTCTCGGATCCGCCATCTTGAAGTTTCGAATTCTGACGAAATAATCATAAATTTCGACCCCTAAAATCACGAGATACTAATTTTGAATAGATTCGGATCATAATTATTACAAAACTCGTCCGCTATATTGGATCCGCCATCTTCAATTCATCAATTTTGACGAAGGAATCATAATCTCCGACCTCTAGAACCCCCAGATCCCAATTTTGAATTGAATCGGATCTAAATTAAAGAACTTGTCCGCCATTTTGGTTTTCTTCGTCTAACAAAAAGGCGTACAAGATTTCATTATCCATGAACTGTAAATTAGGCAAATGTTCGTGAAAAGAACAGTTTTTTTAGGATAGCAGTTCAGAGGCGTCGTAAAATTCTGCTAGAACAGAAGTGAATATAATCTTGGTTTCAAATTCAATTGATTAATCTTCGGGTTCTACCACGGACTGAACAAACTGGGCCTAATAGATTCTAAGGAAATTTCGTGAATCAGCTGATGCAAGACAGAATGTTGTACAAATATACACATCAATTTTAGCAAATCCTTTTCTTCAACTGTACAGCATATGGATCGACACTGGAGGATATTGCAGTTGTATAAGTTCCTAAAGTGGTATGTTAATGATCCAGTCGACACACAACTCATATCGAAATAAAATACAAGTGTATATTACCACGGGACATGTTGGTAAAAATTCGCCAAGCGTGAAACTGTCATTACCAAACTCCATAAATTCTGACAGGAGTACGCAGGCAATATGAAAAGGTACCGAACCGAATGCCGAGGGTACTCTCAAGAGATATTTCCATGTTCTTTCATGGTGCTTTATTAATAACCGAGGCGAGTACCGGTGCGATAATGCCATTAAATTATGTAACAACAACTTTATTCGTGCTTTATATTCTTTTCCGAGGCACCGACAATACGATCTCTCTGAGCAGCTTATGGAAATGTTATTCTATGCTAAATAGCGCTCATTTGATATAAATTCTTACGCAAAAACATCAGGGACGTACAAAACTAGGTAAAACTGCATTTATCATGCGATGGGTTTCTTTTCAAAAATGTTTTTTCGTCCTTACGTAATTTTGTCTGAAAAACACCAATTTCTGCTTGTCTTCTGGATCGCATTTAGAACAAATTGCCCTCCTTTTTCATCATTGGACAATTTCTATATATCACAATGTACGACACATTTTTTTCTATTATATTATATGAGTCAACTAGAAAAAGCAATCTCTTGACATTTGACATCTCATATTTGTATTGACTATTGACTAAATGGCCGCCATCTGGTATGCTTGTTCACTAAATATGAAAAACTCGCCATAAAAATCATAGTTTCTGTTGAATTCTCTATATGAAAATGTGTCATTGAAGTACATCATGAGTATATAAAGTCTCCAATGATAAAAAAAGAAGAGGAAGTAGCTGTAAATGCATCCAACACAGGGGGAAAAAAGAATGCGAAATGTCGAACTTTTTCTTGAATGAAATATCTCGATAATTAGTAGTTTGTTCACATTTTCATTATCAAATTCGTGTTTTTCAGACTAAAATATTCGAGTACCAAAAAAAACTTTCGAAAAAAAAATCCATTGCATGATAAAACTATACAAGTGGATTATTTTTTCGAAGCAGCAAAAAAAATAGAACTTTCCCAAATCTGAAACAATGACTGAAGTGTATTTCAACTGTGACATCATTTGTTATTTGGAGAGCTCAAAACTACACCAGAGTTGCAGATTTGTGACATTACAGGCATTTTCGAAAACTTACCCTAGTCACCAACCGATCCAAATAAATACCTACTGTCCAATGTCTTCAACATTCAATACACGATCTCTCATTCTGAGAACCATTCATCATTTTTCATCAGTTAGTCGTGGCATATTTTAGTACAATAATCAAAAGTATGACAATTTCTGATTATTTCCCACACAACATGAGACTATACCGAGGGGTTAACCAATGAATTTGAGGTATTCAAACAATTCTGAAAGCCATATTTTGTTCAAAATTGCATATTTCGAAACATCCTGTATGGGTATGGATCTTGAAGAATCCGAAACCATTTCGAGAAAACACATCAGGCTTCATGTTTTTGCAAGGAAATTTAAAAAATTATCCTACTAACTGGGCGACCTCAAACTTTTCTAAAATTATCACACTTTCAGATCCAAAAAAAAAACAAAAATCAGTTGATCCCATTCAAAGTTATTACGGTTCGAAAACAAACAAAATATTCGCTTGTCTCAGTTTAGATCACGTGACGGGTCACTCAGATCTGACTGAGATGACCTACCCAGATTATATAGTTCATGAACGTGGCTTGCCATGGGCATCGTCCATGGGTATTAATCTTTTGCTGGGTCACTCAGGGTTGGATCTGAAAACATTACAAATTCGTCTCAGTTCAGGAGAATATTGGTGGATGCATGATGGTTCAGGAGAGTATACATTAATTCCACCAGAAGATAACATCAATGAAATTGTAACATCTCCACCTCCATTTCATCCTTCATTATCATTATAACAATGGGGTTGTATAGTACCATAGTACATACTAGTCGAATTTACGCCACATACCGAATCATCCCGTATATAAATAGTTTTTGATGAAATCATTCGTTATTTAAAATCACCGCAAATATATTTTTTTTTCAATAATTAAATTCGGCGACTTTTAAAAACACCAAGTTTGGAACACATATTTCGACGCTGCCAGATTTGTAACTAGTGATTCAATATGACCAATGACATTCACATTCACAGAAAAAAATAGTTCGACCTGGTCCCTAATAATCACTTATTGAATACTTATATATTTGCAAGATGCTTCAGTACCAATAAAAATATCCTAGTATTCCTAATGATGATCCGAGATTGTATTTCATCCCAAATTATCTTGTGGCACAGGCAACAGCAGCCAGCAGTCCTAAGAAGACCGCCGACTAAACGTAGCCTAGTCAAACAAAAATCAAATCAAGAAAATTACAACAAAAATAACATTACCTATTCATTGAAAAGTAAGTACCTAATAGGTACATACATACTTACATCATACATCTGAACAAGAAAAAAAAACATAGCATTATATATTCGAAAGTTATAAAAATAAAATGAAAAGTAACACGTATATTCTAAACGAATAAACAAAACAGAAACTTCAATCCAATAGGTATCTGTGAGAAAAACCTCTATCAGTCAGATCAGCCTTCACGATCACAAATGTTTTTGTTTTTCACCCAGTCGTTAAGACATAAAGTTATTCTTTATCTCAGACTATTTAGCACAGAATGACTCATTTATAGATTTTCAGGTAGTCATTCAATTTGCGATCTGTCGTTATCACAGAATTGCCTTCATATTCCGCCGCCGTAAGAGAGAGAATAGTCCGTTTTCGTTTCACGCATTACGTCATTTTACAACAATCATGGAATGTGTTTTTAAAGTATTTTTGAATGAAATGTCTTGTATATCTGTGCTGAATAGTCTGAATTTTTTCTAGAGATGTTATAATATGAATGAAATTCTTAAGTCTGCAGTCGGCACGCAGAAATATTTACCTGCGAGACTCTCGCACGAGACACGAGAAATCTTGCACGAGACTCGAGACGAGACCAATAAAAGTCCATGCGAGACTCTCGAAAACGAGACTCTCGCCGGCACCACTACCACACAATGCTCATAAAATGAACGACAATGGTAGATTTCGGGAGAAAAACAACTACTTTCCTGGCCGATGCCACGCAGAACATTAAATCACATATGCTTCCACTTTTCTATCATTCATGTCTCGATATCACTTCTAGATACGAAAAGGTCCGATGGAAGTATCATGAATGTCCATGAAGCAGTTGTTAGGTTAGGTTGATGATAAACGTAGTTGAATTTTTTCAGGCTCTGCTCTTGTTACGCAATGAACTCAATGTAAGTTCACATTGAGTTCAATGTTGTTACGTGGTGAAATGCCTATGTGTGTGCCGTATGCATAGTAAATATTAAAAATTTGTTCTCCATCGTTTAATCATTCATTTATTCTTAGCCATTTCGAAATATTTTGGTACGCAAATGTCAAGTCCCATGCTGTGTCCGATTCGGGTAGTGAATTTGAAAAGAGATCGGAATGTGTACTATCGTGGTTGGACTCAACTACTTTCTTGTAGTCTTGGATTGAATTGATAGTAGCGCCTCTGTTTACAAATACTGTCGCGATATATTCATTCGAACAATAAATCAACATTATTATTGTGATGGAAAAATTCCGATGATGCAGAAATCCGGCAATCCATACCCATGCATTCCCATATGCCAACCGTAAATTTATTTAATATGGTATTTTAACGATCAGGTCATAGGAATATTTTCCGCCTTTCCGAAAAAAAACTTCCTCCTATTTTCCGCCTCTCT